AAGAGACAAAGTAAGCCGCCAGTTCTGGGACTCAGTGTTGGCCTTGTGGCAGTCCGGTGTCCTTAACCACCACGCCACCTGCTGGCTCCAAGTGAAATCACTTTTATTTGATGAAGAATAGCCTGAAATGAGTGAAAATACATGGCAAACCAGCCTTTAGTTGACATGAGCTATGGCTTGCCGATATCTTTAATATCTAGGTATTCGCCTTTCTTTAGTATGTTCACTTATGCAAGTATCTTATCTATCAAAATGCCATGTAGCTCTTTTTATGAGCACTGAGTATACTGAACTGTAAGATTAAACCACATTTCCTCATTTGAAATTGCTAAACTTCCTCCTCTGGACTTTCCAATGATGACCTACTGGAAAAAGAGTCAGCATGAATAAGCAAAGAGGTTGTGTACTTCTTTTCAAAGGGTGTGTTTAAAAATGAGATATCAGTCTGGGGGAAGGTCTGATACATTAACAGCATGGGGTGAGACGTTGGTCTTTGGATTTCCAACATTGACAAATTTGTCTATTTCAAATGCCCTTGAAATGTGAGCCATTTACTTACCTGCAGGGTTATTCAAGTTTGCAGTTATTACTACTTTGCAGTTATTACTGCACCCCAAAGTCCCTATTTTTCTTTCTTTCAGCTCTGTCTACCATGGTTACTATATGAGGTGTTCCAAGTCATGCTTTCTAATGAATATTGTTTATTTAGTATAAATATGTAGTTCATTGACTTTCAACCCTGGCTCTACATTAAAATCACTGGGGAAGCTAAAAACTCATACTAGTGAGCCCCACACTAGCCCAATAAAATCAGACTGTTTTGGATAGGGCTTTGGGGTATCAGTATTCTTTTAAAAACATCCCTGATGATTTTTTTGTTGTTGTTTTAAAATAATTATTTTATTGAAGTTTATTTTTTATTATTTTAATTTGACCATAGGGAGACAGAGAGAGAGAAAGAGAGAGAAGGAGGGGAGTGAGAGAGCAAACCACCAGGTCTGGAATTTGAACCACTGTCAGCCATGTGGGAGTCCAGCACCCTTAACCACCACACCGCCTGCCAGCACCCCCTGATGATTTTAATGCAGTCAGAATTGAGAACTACTGATTTAATACAATAAGCATGTATCATTTTTTGTAATCTGCATTTGTTGGAGAATTTGTTTTTAGTGATTTGAAAAACATGTGTCTGTAAGGAAATTGGACCTTCTTAGCAAGATTTCTTATAAAGGAGTTTCTTATCTTAGCTGAAACCTTTCAAGTGTACTTTCATGAAGATCTCTCCTAGCATCCTTATCATCTCAAAAGGAAAAAAAAATACTTGTCAAAATATTGACACACTGCATTCCAGAAGTTTGAGTCACATGCAGGATAAAGAACTCATTGAAATTCTCTTTAGATGTCTACAAAATTCACCTCAAACAGATTTTTGAGCGATTATTTCTCCATCATAAGCTTGGTACAGGACATTTGGCTCATTATTCTGAGTGAGAGTTAGGTTTAAGATCAGTTCGTGCCTTCTTTTTACTGTATGAGATTGGCCAAGTGTCTTTACCTCAGAACAGTGGGCCTACTCACCTCACACTGGTGTGGATGAGATAGAAATGAGAACTCTGCAAATGGTAAAGTGTGCTTTAAAGTAAACCAGTTGTTTACATCACGGTCTTCCTAAGAGAACAAGCCATTATCATTATAGTTAAAAAAAAAAAAATTAGTGTGAGAGATAAAGAAGAGAGACTTCAAGATGTTGCCAACATCCTCAATCAAACTCACTCTTTCTGGTTCCTACCCCCAGCTCCAGTGCAGGGATCTAGCTCGTCAATATTCTTCTTATCCTGGGGAACCAGCATTTAGCGTAATGGCTATGTCACTGGACTCCCACGTAGTCGATCTCAGTTCAAGTCCTGGACCCGGTGGCTTAAAACTCACACCGGGCGCTTGTGCGTGTGTGCCCAAGATCCCGAGAGGAGAATGGAGAAGGGATTGCGGCGTGACCATCCCCCCTGGGGGTGATTTCTCGCTTTCTGTCTCTCTGTCTCTCTCTGTCTGTCTGGCGAGCGCACACGCCCTATAGCGAAAAACCTCTCAAAAAAAAAAAATTCTTATCCTTTTTATTTTTCCCTTTTAGTTAGGATACAAACTGAAAGTTGTTCTGAGTAATAGGATGTTTTGCCTGTGTTTTGTCAGAATGTTTATTTTTCATGATCGGTGTAATTTCACTTCTAAAAACATTTTATCAGAAACATGATTCAAGGTTAAGCAATTAAATTTTGGATAGTTTTGAGGAAATTAGGAAAATATACATTTCTCATCAATTAATGGTGATAATGATCAATGTTGTATATGCCAATGTTTAAAATTCTTTAACTGTAGAATTACGAATATCCTAAAATTTTAGAAGAAAAATGATAAATCTTTTATATAAAGAGTCTTTGTCCTTTTTTCTTCTTCTTTATTTTTTTTTTTTGAGACATTTTTGCTATAGGGCGCGTGTGCTTGCCAGATAGAGAAAAAGAGACAAAGCGAGAAATCACCCCCCTGGGGGGAATGGCCACGTCGCAGTCCCTTCTCCTCCATTCTCCTCTTGGGATCTTGGGCACGAACACACACGCGCCCGGCGTGAGTTTTAAGCCACCGGGTGTGGGACACGAACCGCGGTCGACTATGTGGGAGTCCAGCGACATAGCCATTACGCTAACTGCTGGTCCCAAGAGTCTTTGTCTTTTATCAAAATATGGCTTTCACACAGAAAAGTGTGCATATCCTAAATGCACAGCTCAGATAATTTTCACAAAGTGAAACATCCCCGTTTGACTAGGAAAGACAATATTACCAAAACCTCAACAGTCCTACCTGCCTCTTTCCAGAAATCACTTGTCTAACAGAGTAGATTCATTCTATTTTCGAAACTAGTATATAAATTGAATCATATGGTTTGTGTTTTTCATTTCTTTTTCTTTGGTTGTAGTGGAGGAGGATAGGGATTTTTTTGCTCAGTTATTTACTATATTGCATGTTAATTCGCTCTCACTGTTATATAGTATTTCACTGGATATGTCACAATTTATCCTTCATTTGATAGATATTTTGGGTTTCCAGTTTGTGCTATTATGAATCACAGTACTATAGACATTTTTATATGTGTCTTTTGCTGGATATAGCTCTATGTGTGTGTGTGTGTGTGTGTGTGTGTATAAATTGTGTCTGTGGGTTGATACATGCACAAGTGCAATCACTGAGACATATATTCAGTAGATACTCTCAAAAACTTTTCTAATTTTTACTTCCTGTAGTAGCATGAGCATTTCAGTTGTTTCTTTTTAAATGATTATTTAATTTATTATTTTTAACCAGAGAGAGACAGAGATGAGGGGAGTAAGAAAGCAAGCCACCAGATTCAGGACTTGAACCACAATCAGCCATGTGGGACTCCAGCATCGTAACCACCACATCACCTACCAGCTCTCTCAGTTGTTTCACTTTCTTGCCACAACATAATACTAAAAATAAGTCAAGGAAATGTTATCACATTAGTAAAATAATAGAGAATTTATAGCAAGTAAATAGATGGGCAAATGGAAAGAACATAAAACATGTGAGTAACATAAACAAATACTGATGTATCAGTATTACATTAAGTGTAATACATGCATCAGTTAAAAAACTAAGAATGGGGGCCAGAAGGTGGCATGGTGGTTAAGGACACTGTACTCCCACATGGCCAACTGTGGTATAAGTCCCAGACCTGGCGACTTGCTTTCTCACTTTCCCTTTCTCTCTACTCTCTCTGTCCTACTCTGGTAAAATGAAAAGAAGTAAATGAATAAAGTTAAATAAAATAATTATTTTTAAAAAAGGACATTTTATAATAAATAAAGGAGTAGACTAATCCAGTTCTTGGTTGAAAGTTTGTGATTTTTCAGACCTGGCAATTCAATGACAAAGTCTTTCTCTAGAAGACCTCACTGGGGAAAGCCATCTCCCCCAAACCAGATTGGTGTATAGCTAATGGCACTGCAGCTCCCAAAGCGAGTTACAGTCAAGTCTCAGGCTCCCCAGGCTGGTCACACACTTACACATATCTGCATTCTTAGCCTGTAAGCCTTCATTTGGAGGCCCCTTAATTAGGCCTTCAGCAGAGACCTTTCTCAAATACCCCTGCCAAAACCATCTCAGCAGAGAAAAGGAGAACTTTGAAGACATACTTTTTTTCTACTCGACTTAATACTTTTCTACTCTTCCCTCATCCTCTTCTCCCTCTCTTCAACTACTGGGTCCATGATACTGTAGTAACCTATTTGGGGCTCCCTTGGCAGTGAGGGGACCCTATATCTGTCTCATCCACCTGACCAATGGCCCAATTCATGAGAGAAAATAAAACAGGAAACCCTTTCTCTGGTTTAGCCTCTTGCTCATAGCATTACAGTAAGCCATTACAGCTTTGACTTTTTTTTTTTTTTGGGGGGGTCTTTATTTCAGTAGACTGCTTAGACATCTTGCAGTTCAGTTGAGTGCCTGAGAGGTTAATTCACCAGGAAGATAATGTAATAATTCTAAATTTGTATACATCTAATAATGTAGCCCCAAAACACATAAAGCAAAAACTAATAGATAATTGAAAGTTATTGAAGTATGACATAGAAATACATAGCCAAGAGGGTACAGCTCAGTTATTGCAAAGTGAGCATATCAGTATATCTGAGATACACAACATTACCAGTACCTCAGAAAGCTCCCTTGAGATACCTGTCAATCACTACTCCATTACTCTTCCCTGAAGGACTGACTCTGCAACTCTGATTTCTAAAATAATAGATTAATTTTGCCCATTTAACTCTGTATAATGAAATCATCAGTATGCATTCCTTATACTTGGTTTCTTTCACTAATATTTGTTAGATATGTTATTAAACATCTCTTGTTGAATATTAACTTATTCTGTTTCATATGTTTTAGAAAATAATTATGAGAGCTTACGGGTACTAAATGTTGAAAGAAATGGAAATATTATTTATACTTATAAGGTAGGTCTATATTATTTTTATTTTAGTAAAATATACATAACAAAGTTTACTATTTTAACCATTTATATTCCGTTTTTACAGAATTCAATACTATATCTTATTGAAGGATAATGAATAAGACTTGTTGGCACCAAAGTTTTAACATATGACCTTGTTTGTGTGTGTGTGTGAGATTAAGTAGGATGATTGAAATTCAGTCTTGTGAAATGTTTACTTTTTTAAAAATCACACATCTGATACAGTACAAAACACTTTTGAATGATTTCATTTTCTAGAGGATAACTGCCAAGAAAAAGATGTTTAAACCTAATTAATATGTTAAGTTTTTATCTTTGAGAAATATTAAATATGATTACTCTGACTATTCAGAATTAGATATACTAGGAATACTACTACTACTTTTTAAAATAATTATTTAATTTTATTCATTCATTTATTTTAATTTGACCAGAGAGAGTTACACAGAGGGAGAGAGAGAGAGAGAAGGAAAGTGAGAAAGCAAGCCACCAGGTCCAGTATTTGAACTGCAGTCAGCCATGTGGGAGTGTCCAGTGCCTTAACCACCATGCCACCTGCTGGTCCCCACTACCACTTTTTTTTTTTTACATTTTCTCTGGGGTATGTGTTCTTGCCAGAGACAGACAGAGGGAGAAAAGGAGGGAAAGTGAAAAAGCAATCCTCAGAGGGCTGGCCATACTGCAATCCCTTCTCCTCCATTCTCCACTTGGGATTTTGGGTACACATACACCCATACCTAACATGTTTTTCAAGTCACCAAGTCTGGTGCTTGAACCACCCAGTTGACCTTGTGGGATCCAGTTGCCTTAACCACTGTGCCACCTGATTGGTTCTATATATGCTAAGACTGAGGCATTATTATTTAAATATGTGTTTTCAGTTTCAAGTGTTTTAAGGAAAATTTAGCTTTACTGATGCTTTTACTAGGAACAGGTGAAAGAATAATAGCTAGTCTGCTTTACATAGTAGAAGCACTGTCTTTTTTTTTTTTTTTAATTTTGGTTAAAAGAAGTTAAGTTGTGGCATGGAGGTTAAGGTGCTGGATCCCATCTGACTGATGGCACAGTTCAAGTCCCAGACTTGGTGGCTTATAAAGCATGCTGAGCATGTGTGAATGTGTGACCCAAATCCTGAGAAGTGAATGGAGAAGGGATTGTGGCATGGCTGTCCCCTCAACGTGATTTCTCACTCCTTTCCCCCAACCCACCCTCCCTACCCCTGCAAGCACATGGGCCCTAAAACCCCCTCCCCCATCCCAGCGGCCTCAAAAAAGGCTGTATCTAAGGATGTTCATTTAAAGAACTATATGACTCAAAGAGTTTTACTTACAAGAATTTTAGGGACTTCTTTTAGCCATCTGATCATCCAATGTATGTGCAAGTGTGTGTGTATAGATACTCATTTGTATTCTCTAAGAAGATACAAACATAAATACAAAGAGATTCATTCCTTTACTCATGTTCTCCCTACTAGATCTGGCCTAATCTCACTGAGCTGTACATTGTTGCTCCATTTCACGCTTTGAGCCACAATGACTAGTTCAATCATGTTTGGTCCCTTTCTGACATGTATAGCAAACTTCCCTTAGAGTGCTTATTGCTAAGATTGACTTAATTTGTGCAGGTTTGTTTAAAACCAGTAATATTCTAACTTCCTAAATAATGACATCTAATAAACATCTGGTTTATTTTTATTTTTATTCATTTAAGGATGGTAAGGGAAATGTCCTCTTTGGATTATATGATTGCCAAACCAGACAAAATAAGGTAAAAAATCAGCATATGTCATATTACTCAGTGGTTACATGCCAGCTTTCAGAGTTTGCTTCTTTCTGTATCCTCCTCTTAAAATTTTATTTAACTTAAATTTAAAAACTAAAGCATTTCTCTTAAAAGGAGAAATGGAGAAAAGATTGCTGTATGGTGTGGTGGTTAAGTGCCTGATTCCCACATGGCCAACCATGGTTCAAGTCCTGGACCTGGTGACTTGCTTTCTCACTTTCTCTTTCCATCCTTCCCAACCTCCTTCCCTCTCTCTCCATCTCTCTCTGGTGAGGACATCTGCCCAATACAAATTTTTAAAAATAATAATAATAAATAAAATTAAATAATTAAATAATTAAAAAATATCTGATACTTAAAAAAAGATTACTGTAGGATTCTAGTGTGTTCTCAGTGCTTTTTTAAGTCTATAGATACTAATAACCTTAATACTTCTGCTATTCTGTTTTTCTTAGCCTGTTCTCTCCTGTCATCTAAGACTTTCCCTTATCCTTTGGATTAGAGGGTAAGAGAGTTTAGGATGGTTGCTAATTCAGTGGTGATGGGTCTCTAGTTCCTCAATTCATATATCACATCCTCCTTCTATATGACCATTTTAATTTTCTTTAATACTCAAGGAAATGGAGTCTTGCAACATTTGGAACATTTCAAATGGCAACAACGACAACAAAATTAAGATAGAAAATTACTTGGTAAAACTCTGAGAGTAGTGTAGAAGAACTACTTGTGACAGTTTTTAAAACTTAACTAATGAAGACTTGTGTTCATGGAAATGTATATATCAGCCGTGTTTGCTATGAAAATATTTAGATTAATTAAGGTCCTTAGTAATTCAATAAAATGTAGGGGGAAAACAGTATAGAAAGTAAACACAGATACCAGAGACAGTGTGGGAAGAGAATGGGAGATGGCAGAGGGTAAGAGATAGGGAATCAAGGATGGGGGAAAAAGCAAAACATACAGGAAACAAGAAATGGAAAATTATTTGTTGACAATAACATGTTTGTTGATGTGCTTGATCGAGACAATATACAGTGTACTCTGGATGGAAAATCTCATTTTGTATGCTGTAATGATGTACGGTGAATGAATGTAAATAAATTTTAAATAAAAAACTAATGATATCATAATTGTGTAATTTGACTGAAACTTTACTTGCTCAATAATTACAACTAACATTTGAATGTTTATTATGTGTGGCAGATGTTGTACTAAATGCTTCATATAGATGGTTTCACTTGATTCTCCTAACAATCCCATGAGATAGGTATTATGATGTCTATGTTCTGATGGGGGTTGGGGGAGAGCAGTTGAATAATTTGTGCAAACTCACAGAGGTAGCAAATGGCAGAGTCAGAATTCGATCCTGGGTCAACTTTGGCTCCAAGGTCTATACTCTTAAGTTTCAATGCCAAATATGGCCTATGATAGCATACTTCTTTAAAAAAAAAAAATCTGCAACAACTTAGTATGGATAAACTAGTTCATTAATGGTTCTTTTGGTAAAAAATATTTTGCCATAATAATACCTGGTAAAAAGCTTTATGATAGCTTATATACATACAATTGTTAATTAAATAATGCTTTTGTTTTAATAGCATCTATATACCTTTGAGAAAGACTTGCAAGTTGTCAGTTGCTCTGTCAACAGTGAGAAAACTTTACTTGGTGAGTTGAACCCTTTCATTTCTACGTCTAAACTACATTTTTAATTTTTAGTTTCAAAGTGTTGGACTTTTGCAATATTTGCTTATTCTAATAAGTATAGAATCTGTAGGCTATACCTACCAGAAAAAATCTTTTCATTCTATCTTAATCTTTCACTGACAACTTCTTTGATTCCTCATTTATTTCAGATATAAAATGGTAAACTTTAGAAAGCCACTACATGGGTCAATTGCTAATGGAGGTTTTTTTTTTTTTTTTTTTTTTTTTTTTTCCCCTTTTCCCATTAGCTGCAAGTTTAGTTCAGTCTACTAAAGAAGGAAGAAGAAATGAGCTTCAACCAGGTAATCAAATTATACTTCTTAGTGCCTATTGGTAGATGAAGGTTTATTGAACCTGAAAGATGAATTTCAAACATCTTTAGAAACAGACTTCCCTTACAATGAAAAGGCAAAGATCATGTCAAGCACAAATAAGATTTCTTTTTAAATTAAAAAAATATATATATATTTAAAAGAAAACAGGAAAGTACAGAACATAATATAACAGGGACTAGTAGAAGTATTAATAAGTTGAGCACCTTAAGTCTAAATAAACATCGAGAATACACTAGAACCTTATGGCCAGAAGCTGGTAGAAAAGGTTGAGAAAGTAAAAAATACTAATTTTTCTTATATCTGGATAAGTATTGAGTAGTACCTAACACAATGTGAATAGTTTACTAATACTAAACAAAAATAAATGGTATTTGTTTGCCAAGGCCCACTTTATGTTTATTAGCTTTGTGATGCTCCCCTGCCCCTCCCACCTTTAAAAGAAATACTCTACATGATCCATCTGTCCACAATTTAACTGCATTGAATGCCTGTTGTAGTTCAGGTACAATGTATGGTGCTGGAGATACGATAGTGTTAGGGGTCTTCAAAAAAAAAAAGTTAGTGGAAATCATATTATGAAAAAATTATGCTTGGGGACCAGCAGTTAGTGTAATGGCTGTCGCTGGATTCCCATGTAGTCGACCACAGTTCGGGTTCCAGATCCGGTAACTTGAAACTCACGCTGGGCACGTGTGCGTGCGGATCCGGTAACTTGAAACTCTGGGCACGTGTGCGTGCGTGTCCAAGATCCTGAGAGGAGAATGGAGGAGAAGGGATTGTGGTGTGGCCTAACGCCCTGGGAGGTGATTTCTCGCTTTCTGTCTCTCTGTCTCTTTCTGTCTGTCTGGCGAGTGCATGTGCCCTATGGCAAAAACCTCTCCAAAAAAAAAAAAAATTATGCTTGAGTTTCTAAATTTTTTTTGGCACCAAAATGAATCATTCATTTCATTTTTATAAATGTTTTACATCTCCTGATATGTACAAGAAGTATAGTAACTTCTGTCATGGAGCTTTCAGTCTAGTTTCAGGTTTCCATCACAAATGTACACAGAAGCCAGAGAGATCATATTGGTAAAGTGATGGAGTAGAAGGAAAACCGTGGGATCAACAAAGTTTCTTTGTTTCTTTTTACTTTTGGTCAAAGGTTACATGTGCTCGCTTGAAAGAGACAGAGAGTGAGCATCCCCCAGTGGGACATGATCATGCTGCAATAATTTTTCTTCCATTTCTCCATGGAAGACCTTGGTATGTTTTTCAGACTGCCAGGGCTGGGATTGAAATCATATTTAGCCATGTGGAACTGGGGCCTCTATGCACAGTGCTTAACTGGGCCTGTTGTTTCCCTCTTTAACATAGAAACCAAGGAGTATTTTATCTCATTAGGGGGTAAAAAAAAAAAAAACGTTTAAAAGCTGTAGGGATAGGCCAACAGGTGGAATAGAAGTTAAGGCAGCTAGATCTCACATGACTGACTTTCACGGTTTGAGTCTGGAACCTGGCAGCTTGAAAAACATGCCAAGTACTTGTGTGTGCATGCACAAAACTGCAAGAGGAGCATGGAGGAGAAGGGATCGTGGCATGGCCATTACCATGCTTGCTTGCTCTCATGTGTAGCACACTTGCCCAGTGGCAAATTAAAAGCAAAACAAAGAAAGTATAGGGGCTAGTGGTAGGGTAGGGGTGCCCCATGGGAGCCACTTTTCAGCTCTCGTTTTTGTTGTTATGTGGGGCAGTAAGCCTAGTGGGACCAGCTTTTCACTTTGTTGAGAGAAGTCTGAATTTTTATATAAAAATCTAATTTGTAAAGATTGGCTCAAATATTTTTTTAAAATCCCAAGGCAATGATAATCACCCGTGGACTACCATTTTTCAACCTCGGGTGTAGTGACTCTCCTGTCCGTCTCTTACTGTTCTGATCCCGGGTACTTTCCATCTGTTCTGTTTACTTGGCACTTGAATTCCTTCTTTTGTTAGCACAGTTCCCACTCAGATATATCTGTGGTCACATGTGATGGAAAAACCCTTCGTACATACTTTCCACATGAGGCTTATGAGGCACTCCCAGGCTTCTCGTGATCCACATTTCCCAAAGAGCCCACTTAGAGTGGCAAGGGAACATGAGTCCAGTCTTCATGGTACTCTCCTGTAGTTCTCAGCAAAAGAAAAGATGCTGGTGGGCAGGAGGCTGTCCCTGAAATTTCATCATTTATGTTACTCGTCCTGACCATTCCCCTGCCATGACTTACTGAGAACTTCAACAGCCTCTGCCCTCTGTGCCATGTTCTCCTATGACCAGGTCCCTGAGTACTCACTGTGTCTATTAGAATTAGGTGCAGTGCTCACTGCAGAGGAGATGGAACTAGACTAATTTCAGCAAAATACGATCTAGGACATGGGTATCCTGACCCCTAAAACAAGGGCATGACCAAACCAGGTTATGTCCCTGCTCTGTGCTAATAAACTTTGTATCCAAGAAAGGAAAGCTGCCTGTATTCCTCAAGATTGTGAGGAACACAATCTGTGTAAATTCTGTGGACTTGCTCCCTGTGCCTCCCAGTCCCTTTGTGTACATTATTTTTTTAAGCCTTGAAAATTCCTTTTTCTTTTTAAGTTTATTTCTTCTGAGAGAGAGATTGAGAGCAAAAACCCCCAATAGAGACCTGATGCCACCATCTATACCCAGCCAGCCTTGGATCCTGGGCATATGAATGCCTCGTGTACTCAGGAAGACTCTGAAAGCAAACCTGGATCCTTTCCACGTGGATTGGCCTTGCAAGGTGTCACATTTTACTGTTGTGCTGGTCCCCAGGAAATTCCTTATTATACTGATAAGCCCAGTAGGAACTATGGTCTTTACCTGGTGTTTGCCATCTGTGCCTCATTGTCATGCATTACATATTAATGATTAGTGATTACATATATTATAAAATGCACTTTCAGATTAAGTTTATTGTAAATTTTCGTCAGCACCTGAAATTATGCTTGACTTGCCTTTATACCTTTAGTGAGGTTATCCACTTGCACTTTTAAAAGCATTGCAATGAACATGGTTATTGCATTGGACCCTTCATCACTTTACATCTTAGCTCACCATTGATGCCAACCACTGTGGTGAAACCTGCTCTGCCCAGGTGGAGTTTGACAATGCCTCATCTCAGATACTCTACTTCTCTCTGGCCTGGGCCCTTGGAAAATCTGTTGACTACCTACACATGCACAACTTGGTTGGGAATGATGATGCTCAGTAGGACAACCCATGGCCAATGAGGAAAAGGAGCTGGAGCATAAATACTTCCCCTTTCCATCTCTAATTGTGGGTAAGTCTAAACTGTGCTCCAAGCAATCCAAGCTCCATGGTGATGACTAATTCGATAGTCCCCTGTTTACTGGTGTATTCTTCTAACCTCTTTCATCTCCCCAGTACTCTGATTACAGTGATCCTCTCCTGAGACAACTTCTTGTTTTAGTGTGTGTTTTTTCTTAAGTAGGATCTAAGGCAAGGATTTGATGCCATTAGTTTATTTGGAGGATAATCCTAGGAAACACTATTGGGGGAGTATTTAAACAGAGTTCTGAAAGAAGGGAGTGAGCAAGCACATGGCTGTGGAAATAGCACATTTCTGGCAGAACAAACAGGCACACAAAGGTCCTGAGTCAGGACCTATAGTTGGTAGACTCACGTTCAAAAATAGCCAGGAGGTCAGTAAGGGAGGAGGGAATGAACAGGAGCAGAGTGGAAGGAACTGAGGCTAGAGGAAAATGTTGGTGTGGTGCAGGCAGATCCCATAGACCCAAGGAGGCCGTTGGGAAGACTTGACCTTCACTCAGTAAAATGGAAACAATGTGGGTTTGAACAGGGGAGTAGTGCTCCAAATTTAAGAAAGGATCATAGAGCTTCTGTGTGAGAAATACACTGCATGGAGGCAAGGAGAAAGCAGGGAGGCAGACTGGTCATAAAGCCATCACAACTGTCCAGTGGCATAGACTAGGTGAGTGGAGCAAGGGCTTAGTGGTTGCATTTCGATGTAGTTTGAAGATAGACTTAAGATTGGCTACTGGATTTGGTGGTAGTATATGAAAAGGAGATAAGTCAAAAATGACTGACTCCAAGGTTTTTGTCTGGAACAGGGAGTAAAGAGAAAAAAGAGAGAATGGAAAAAGTAGGAGAAGGAGTTTGTTCTTGGGCATGCTGTTTGAGATGCCTGTTAAGACATCCCAGTGGAGATGTGATGTTGGTTGTTCAGGGTACAGGCTGGGGCTGGAGATACACAGGGAGTCTTCAGTGAATGGAAGGTATGGTTAATCAAGGAAAAGTTTTATTTTGTTCAGTTAAAATTACAGGAGTGATTGGGTTGGCAGGTGGCATGGTGGTTAAGGATGCTGGACTCTCACTTGGCCAACTGTGATTCGAGTCCTGGACCTGGCGGCTTGCTCAGTCTTTCATCAAAATCGAAAAGTAATGATAAATAAATAGTTCCTTTAAAAAAAAATAAAATAAAAATTGCAGCAGTAATATAGCCAGAAAGCACCAAAGAATAAAAGCATTTTGTACTATGTTTTGTTCTTTGTGTAGGTGTTTTGGAAAGGTTTATTTTGTTTGTCCACCTGATTATACAATGTAGTTTGCCTCAAGGCTTTATTAATATTCTGTTGCTTAAGGGACCAGCAGTTAGCGTAATGGCTATGTCACAGGACTCCCATGTAGTCGACTGCGGTTCGAGTCCCAGACCTGGTGGCTTAAACTCACTCTGGGCTCGTGTGCGTGTGTGCCCAATATCCCAATAGGAGGATGGATTGCGGCGTGGCTATTCTCCCTGGGGGGTGATTTCTCACTTTCTATCTCTATCTCTCGCTGTCTTTCTGGCGAGCACACGTGCCCTGTAGCAAAAATCTTTCCAAAAAAAAATTCTGTTGCTTAAAATAAGATTTTTCTTCTGCAAATGAGACAAAACTAGTATTTTTTTTTA